TCTTTATTCCTAGTTTGCTGAGAGTTTTTATCATGATCCTCCTGCCTTAGCCTCCCAAGTAGCTAGGACTACAGGTGCATGCTGCAACATCTGGCTGATTTTTTTTTTTTTTTTTTTTTTTAGCAGTTGTTCTTGATAGTTCTTGCTATCATCATGTTGATGAAGAAGAAGATGAGCATGTAGACATTAGATGTAAGGAGAATTTTGAAATTTTTTTTTTCTTACTCCTCATGATTCTAAATTCCCTTCTTTGGTAGGTGGTGGACTTTGTAGCAGCAACACTGCAGAGAGCATGTGCAAGCTTGGCCCATCAGGCAAAGAGTACCGTGGAGTCACAGACACTGAGCATGTCCATGGGGCTGGTGGCCGTCATGCTAGGAGGAGCTGTCCAGGTGAGTTGTAGACATGAGCCAAACGTGAATGGAGGGAAAAGAGATGCAAAATACCTATTTCTTCTCTTCCATACCCTTGGGAGGAATAAGAATGGATATCGTACGTAGGATAATGAGAATTCTCTCTAAAATAGAGGACAAGAAAATTACACCATTTCCACTCTGTCAGCTGAATAGGCTTCACTGTCAAAAAGGCAGGGCCCTTTCCTACCTGATACAAATTTGATTTGGAAACATCTAACATGGTATTTTGTATCTGAGGCAAATATTAATACTAGATTCTCTGGCCTGATTCTCCCAAAGCGCAGCCCTTGTTTCTACTACTGTAGTCAGGGGGAAATCCTTAGTAACCTGCTGGTTGCTCAAGACCCATCTATTTGAACAGCTCCATTGCAGCAGAGGATCCATTGTTCAGCCCATATCACGTAGCATGTTAAAATTTGCTTCCAGACACTTTGAAGTGTACGTGTCTTTTACATACTTAATTTGTAATTTTTAAGTTTATTTCTTTAAACGGTATTTATTGCCTACTTGTTGCATGCCAGATACTGAGCTAAGGTGTGGAGATTACAGCAGTGTGCAAGGCAGACAGGGTCCCTACCTTTATGAAGCTTACAGTCCAGTAAGGGAGTGAGACACTAAATGTACTTAGAATTGAATGAAGTACCTCAAAGCGAAGTGAAGGTACCAAGAGAACATAGTATCTAACCTAGGCTGGGAAGATTTCCACTGAGAAAGTGTAAGGTTAAGCTAAGACTTGAAGGATTAATAGGAGTTTGAGTGTGCAGATGGAGGAAGCTCTCCCCATTAAAGAAAACATATGTTTCAGAGGCTCGGAAGCAGGAAAGTGTTAGGTATACTTGAGACTCTGATAGAAGGCTGGTATAGCTGTATTGTAGAGACCAAGGGGAAAAGTGGAGCCAGAAGGGAAAAAGATAGGCAAGGGCTAGGTCATGTGTGTGTATGACTTGTTAATTACATACCATGTTAGGAGACTGCAAGAGAGCAGAAAAGGCTTAGTGCAAGTATTATGAAATCCAACTTGAAATCAGCCTTCTCATAACCCTTAGCAATGGGTAGAGAACCCTCTGGGAATGGATTTTTGGGTTTGAGGAGTCAAATCTGATCTGATTCTTGATATATAAGAATATGCCTCTCTCTAGTTGTCCTTAAGAGGAAAAGGAATTTTATCTGAGCCTGTTGTTAATGTGAAGCCCATCTCTTGGTAGATTAATTTTATATTCCCCATGTAATTTTTAAAAAAAGTTTTTGGTTCAGTTTCTAGAGCCATATTAGAACTAGCAAGGAGGGGTTCACCAATGGAATAGTTTTTTTTTTTTTTAGAGATGAGGTCTTGCTGTGTTGCCCAGGCTGGCCTCAAACTCTTGGCCTCAAGGGATCCTCCCACCTTGGCCTCCCACAGTGCCAAGATTATATAGGCATGAGCCACCACACCTGGCCACCAACTGAATAGTTTTTCTTAATATGTATTGCTATTGGATTTAGTTGGCTAGATTGATTTTTGTTTTTCTGGTTGAGTATTAATTTGAATAACCTTTGTTTCCATTAGTTTAGAGTGCATTTTTTATTTTTATTTTTTTGGTTCTCTTTACTTAACACTTATCATTTCACACCAAATCTCAAATGGAAAATAGATTACAGAAATCTCCATCCCCCTTTCTAGAAACCTGCTGTTGGGGGGCCAGCTGTGTACATTAGTCGTGTTCTAAGAGAGACTCACCTGACTGATGTAAACGTGGATCCCCTGCCTGTCCTTGCTTTTCTGTGAGCCATCCTGACTCACTGATTACACCCTGGATTCCTCTGACTTTGCAGTTAGTTAAGTGAACTTAAACACGTCACCCCCTATACTTTTGCCCTAGATCTAGTAATTTTTTTTTCCTGTTTGATTCATGGATTTATTATATGAGTGGCTTCTGTAATGCTGGTTTTTTTGTCTTTGTAATAAAAAAGAAAGTCATGATTCTGAATTTTGTTTTCAGTTGATCATTGCCAGGGTAAGGTCTTTGCTTTAGTCTAGAATATTATACTGTACCTAACCCCTATCAGGACTTGTCGTTTTGGCTAATGAAACAGAATCTAACAGCATCTGAACATTTTTTTCCTTTTCTTTGTAATTTATGTAATTAAGACAATTATTATAACATTGTGTCTGGGAAGAGGAGTTAATTTGGAAAAAGTGCAGGTTTAAGACTGCTCCCAAGGCAACTGTAATTCCAAACTCATTTTCTAAATTTCAGGGCTGGTCATCAGTAAAATATTATGTTAGTAACTTTTTCCTGTCCCCTCAAGAAGCAATGTCTGCATGATGCTGCAAGGTCCACTGGGTCGTCTAAAGAGCAGTCCCCAACTGTTTTGGCACCAAGGGCCAGTTTCATGGAAGACAATTTTTCCATGGGACTGTGGGGGGTTGGGTGGGGTGGGGATGGTTTCAGGATGATTCAAGTGCATTTTTGTGCACTTTATTATTATTACATTGTAATAAATAAATAATTATACAACTCACCGTAATGCAGAATCAGTGGGAGCCCTGAGGTTGTTTTCCTGCAACTAGATGGTCCCATCTGGGGGTGATGGGAAACATAAGTGTGTTGCTTACGTCCAGTCTACTCTGTAATCTCATTTTGGTTGTTGTCACTGCAGAAAACCCTGCTTCACAAAGATAGGATGTTGGAAATGGAAGCAGGATTTTCAGTGCTTTTGTGGCAATCTCAGGATATTCTGCCTTGACTTTAATCCAGAATGTACGGAGATTTGAAGTTGTTTCAAACATACTTTTAAGGCCACCATCATTTGTCATCTCAAGCAGTTGATCCTCTTCTAGCACAGACAAAGTCGATTCACCTGGCTTATTGACAAATGGGTTGCAGATCCATTCCTTCCAGTTCAGGGGTCTTGTGTGGTTGGGAAGTAATGCTCAAACTCTTTTGAAAGCTGAGATAGGTGATCATGCACCAGCTGGGAGAAAGAAGGCCCTGACTCAGTCTCTTTCAAAGTCTCTGCTAATGTTCGAAACATGTCAAAAATCCCAATGTTCACTCATCACCCCAATAATTCCAATTTGGCTTTGAATGCAGCCACTTTATCTGGCGACTTGAACACAATTTCATTCTCCCCTGAAGTGACAGATTGAATTCATCACACAAATAAGCAAGTTTTGCAACCCATTCTGTGTCGGTGAAATGTGTTGCCAGTGGTGACTATTTTTCTAAAAGAAATAATCTGAAGCAGCTCTCATAACTCAAAAACTCTGGCCAGTGATCTTACCTTTAGAAAGCTATCTCCCGTGTATAAGAGACGTGTGCTCTGCGACCATCTCCTCACAGAGCTGCATGAACAGACATGCATTATGGGCATGTACTTTAATGTGTTTGATAATTTTAATCACATCCTGCAAAACGTTGTATAGTTCAGGTGACGTTTTTCAGCTAGCCAGCATTTCTGTATGTTTGACATGGTGTGTAGACTCACATTCAGAAGTGACTTCCTTGACCCGAGCAGTGAAACCAGAAGGCCATCCAGTCATGGCAGCTGCTCTGTCCATGCATATACCAACATAAAATGACCAATTCAGTTTTCCTGATATATAATCATTCGAAGACTTGAATAGTTCTGCAGCTGTGGTGTTGGTTGGCAACAAAAGTGCACATAATATATCCTCATACACATCCTCCTGAAAAATATATCGTACAACAACAAGCATTGTTGCCTTGTTGTCAATGTTGGTAGACTCATCAACCTGGATTTCATATCACGGTGACTCATTAATCCTCTCTAACAATTGTGCCTCAGTATCTTCTGCTATTTCATCAATTCGTCTAGTTATGGTGCTAACCAAAAGAGGAACACGTGCCACCTTTTGAACTGCAGCCTCTCCTAAAAGTTCATGGCAAGTGTCCTTAGCAGCAGGCAGGATCAGCTCTTCACCAACAGGAAAGGGCTTCTTAGCTTTGGCAATGCGTTAGCCACTAGGAATGATGCTCTCAGTGCAGACACATTTGATGAAGTGGTGGCCTTCAGTAATTGCTTCTGTTAGTGTTCACGTTTTTTTTTCTTTCAAAAAGTTCCAAAGGCTTGTCTTTTAATGCAGAGTGCTTGGTCTGCATGTGGCAAAGCAGTTTGATGATTTCATGGCTTTGTTGGCTAGTTGGTCGCCACATGGCATACAAAGCGGGCTTGGAGAATGTGAATCACCTGTTGCAATGAATCTGTAATTTAAGTAGGACTCTTGGTATTTTCTTTAAATGCAGCTTTCATTTTATTGGCAGTCTTAGAGTCTTGTGCTGTCTCATCATTGGGTCTTTCCTCCTTTTCAAAGAAGCTCTCCAGTGACATTTGCTTTTTACTCATTTCTGCTTGGGTTAGCTTGTGGGCTGACCAAAACTGTGACTGAGACAATGCACAGTGTGGAAAGAGGCGCAGATGGAAGTGGTAAATAAAATAATCGGTGGGCCACACATGGACTAAAGTTAAGTGTCAGATTCTGACTGAAAGCTGCCACTGGATGCAGCTGTACAATTGAAGCTGTACAACTCACTTGCCACTATAGAACCTGCCACCAGTCACCTTGTAGTGACTACAAGAAAGGCTTTGAAAAGTTCAGAAACACTGCCCTCATCCATAGTGAGCAATGCTCAGCTCCGGCGGGTACACCCAAGGGAGTGCTATAAATGTTAGTCATGTGTGGCGAGGGGAAGAGGAAAGCCACACTTCTTGTTTCCACAGGCTTTTGCTTGCTTATCCACTAGGCGATCTAGACTTTTCTCAGAATTTCCCTAAGGTGGCGGGAAGGTTCAATCACTTATATATAGGTGATTAAACTGGCTAAAAAAAGCCCTCATATGGAAAGTACAGTGCCTCTAATTTTACTTTTTAAGAATGACCTTATGACCTTTCAGTTAACTAACGACCCCTCTAATTCTTTTTTGCCTTTCTTTTTTTTTTTTTTGGAGACAGAGTCTTGATCTGTCACCCTAGGT